CAAAAAGTACATATGTTCACCCTAACTATGACAATCAAACTAGAAGAGGAGATGAAATCCGACAAAATCCTGATACACCATCGAATACAACAAGGTGTCACAATTTCCCCAAAAAACCTGAACTGGCGGGATAAAGGAATTAATATAATTAGATGGAACAAGTAGTGATGTGAGTCGAGAATATTCCCATGCGAATATTCGCGAACATTGGGAAATTTCCGAGAATATTCGCCGATAAAAAATGGAAACGTTCTCCTGAATGAGAATATTCCCGGAAACTTTCAATCAAAAACTCTCAAAAGAATATTTCCGAGAACTTTCGAGAATATTTCCAAGAACTTTTGAGAATATTTCCAAGAACTTTTGAGAATATTTCCAAGAACTTTCCAGAAGAACTTTATAATGCGAGATTATTGCGAATACAAGGTCTCAGTGACTTTATTTCACTTTATGTGGATGACGTACCCAGTCCAACGGTCTTTACGGAAACGCTGATCCGATTTACCCGATCACCAGCTGATGTACCTACAGCCTAATGCCTAAGGTTTGTCTTTTTTTGGAATAATCTCCATTGAAGAAAGATAAAAAATAAAGAGCTGAGAGATTGGGTTAATCGGATCAGCTTTTCCTTTGAAGCCTTATTCAACCGTCGATAAAAGTGTTTTTGGTACATAGTTTAATTTTTAGCTGATCTTACAGAAAAGAATAGGTGTTTTTCTTGGTTTATAGTCTATAGTCAGTACGCTACAATTAGGTAAATGAAGCTTACTACGATTTGTCCGATTTAGCTATATATTGAAAAAAAAAACAATATTTCCATAAGTTCCCGAAAGTTTCCAATATTCCCGGAAAGTTTCCGAGAATGTTCGCGGCTTTTGAATGTTTCGGGAATTTTACATTACTAGGAACAAGACTGACCCATTCAAGATTCGCAGACGACATTATTCTCATTATTAATACTACTGAAGAACTGAAGATGATGCTAGAACTCTATAGAGCGTCCCTACAAGTAGGATTAACGGGCCCTTTACCAATAGAAATATTAAGCATAGAAAACCATATGTAAGAGAATGATGTAACTAAGTACCTACTGAGGTTCAGCTATCCCAGCGTTCATATTTTTCTCATTAAATTTGCGTTTGTCAATGTATCTAATCAAATCTTTGTACCTGATCAAAATCTTATTTGAGTTGTTTTCAAGGGTGTTTTCCTTGTATATTCGTTTAAAATCTTCAGGTCTTTTGAAATAATTTGATCCTGGTTGATATAGTATATTGTTAGATGATCTTGTTATAAACTTCCCCTGAGATAAGAGATCTAGCGCGATCATTTTGCTTACCTAATATTGAGCCTGATATCAATGTCAATTTTAATTTGAGTTTTAATTACCTATTTAATTTAAATTATTACCTGGAAGCATTTTTCCGTTTCCTATTTGATTACTGCTACATGGAGCGCTAATCCTTTAGGACTTGTAAAACTATGTCTGACATCGCGTTTCCTATTAGGCTATTTTCTACCGCTATATGGCGCGCTACTCCCATAAGACTTGTTAAATTATATTCGACGTCGCGTTTCCTATAAGACCAGCGCACATAAATTGAATAACCATGCTCATTTTGCCAACTATGCTGTTACGTCAGAATCAACAGAAATAATAAAATGAGATACAACGAGAAATATTAAAAAATAATTGCACTACCTGTAACCACCAATTAACCTCAAAAAAGACAACGATAATGAAATAGATTGCAGTGCAAAGGAAGTCTGCAGACGATCGCAGAGGGTGTGCGCTGGTCTAATAGGAAACGCGACGTCAGATATAATTTAGCAAGTCCTATATGATTAGCGCTACATGTAAGGGTAGATGATGTGCGTTGGCCTAATAGGAAACGCGATGCCAGATATAATTATACAAATCCTAAAGGATTAGCGCTCCGTGTAGCGGTAACCAAATAGGAAACGGAAAAATGCTACCTGGAACGCTGCATAGCAAGAAACTGTCTAGGAGAAAAAAGTAAACAGACCACTTTTTCTGCCTGGGCAGTAAAAATATAAATTTTAAGCCTGTCAAGTGTCATTAAAAAGCCGCTAATGTCATACTATTATTGATCTGTGTCAAAAGTTGAGAAGAGGATTTTACGTGTTGCTCAGTTTCATATTGGAAGTTATTTATTGTCAGTAAAAATTAAATAGGTCTGGGTGTAAGAACAGGGCAATCAATTGTAAATGTCACCCCTCCTAACTTTTTTATTTGACGTTTTTGACAGAAGTGTCAAATACAAAAGTTTTAAGAAATTGTCAAAAGTTTTAAACATACAGGGTGAGTCAAAAAAACTGTAGCAGAGAGAAGATGTATTTTTATCAATGGAGGTCCATGTAAGTATACGCTTATTTATTAGTTCCCTTCAACCTGATTTCAACAATATACCTACGGTTTGATATGTTTATCTCCTGGTTTATCTTCAATAGTCATAGGAAAAAACGCCAAAATCCCTTCCTAAGATTCCTAAGTTTTTTTTGTTTTAAATAATAATAATGCTTATAAGACATCTAGATTTATTATAATATTTCACCTTGTAAATGAATGCCTTTCTCTCGCTTTCTTCAACATGAGACCTTGAACGGGGTTTTCATGTTTTTCCCGACCCATAACTATTGAAGAGACATATTAAACCATATACCTATCGACTATCGTTGAAATCAGGTTGAAAGGGACTAACAAATAAGCTCACAATATAACTTGGCACTGCCTCACTTTTTTGAAGCAACCTGTATGCTTAGAGCTGATGACTAGTTAAAAACAAAAATTTTCGACAATTTCTTAAAACTTTTGTATTTGACACCTTTGTCAAAAACGTCAAATAAAAAAGTTGGAGGGGGTGATATTTACATTAGATCAGTGGTTCCCAAAGTGGGCGATAACGCCCCCCAGTGGGCGCTGCAACCATCTCGGGGGGCGGTAAAGAGCTCAGCTGATTTTGGGGGGTGGTAATCACAAATTAGTGGGTGGTGGAAAATAAACGAACGGATCAGAACAAAAAAGGCTAACTTGACGCTCAGCCTCCCAACATTTTAGAAATAAGATGAAACAAAAATGGATTCTTATGCAATCTGAAGTGTGCTGAACTGTGCTGTATCAGGTTTTTCTCAAAATTTCCATATTCAGTCATTTTCTGACAAAATCCTACTGAGGAGGTAACTTGAGGCTCAGCCCCTTGCCAAGTAAACACACGACCGTGATTTTTTTTTTAAAAAAAGTCGCTGCTTCAATATCTTGGATCCCTGCCAAGGGGGCACTGGATAATGGACCTTTCTCATTTTACCTGTGTTGCGCGCGCAGCTTGTGGGTGACAGATAATAAAATGAATGAATGCGGGAACGCGGTCTGACCCTGACGTTTTTTAGGCTAACCTCAATAATCAATCAATTTTGCTGAAAATTATTACAAAAACTGTTTATTATACAATGGTTCAAATGTGTTGTGTGAGATCTTGTCAGAGTAAGGCGAACAAGAAGTCAAATCTTTCTTTTCACAAGTTCCCAAGCAATCAAATTTTAAAAAAACAATGGTTACATGCTTTCAACTTGACTGAAGACGATTTAAGTTGGAACAGAGATTTGAGGGTTTGTAAAATAACGATTTCTATATCAAATACAATAATAATTGTACAATTAAAGGTTTGTTAGCACTTGCAAATTCGTACTTCTCAAATTTTTCTAAACTTTTTGCCCACATATTTGTCACATTTACATTTAAAAATAAACAAAAACAGAAACATAACCGAAATTGCACAATTTCAAAATTTGACAAGTGGAACCAATCAAAGTCATTCCACACAGGTATCGCGCGTCATTATATGTGTCTTTTTCTTAATTACATGAATTTTATATAATAAACTAGTGATGGGACTTGAACATCGATGTATCGTGAACATCGATGTTATTGCTTTCGATATTCGATGTTTTAGCATCGATGTCAGAAGTTACAAAACATCGACATATCGATGTTTGAACTATCGATATTGGATATTGCGAAAAGTACGCCAAACTGGCCAAACCTACACTCAGAAAAGAAATATATTGAAAGGGCAAGGAAAAAATTATTAGCCTTGGTATTTGCACAGTTTGTTGTAGGTCGTATTTTCTGGAAACTCTAGGAGTTTTGGTGTTTATAAAATTTGATTCCTATTCATCCTGTAATTATTTTATTCGTGTTTTTGCTTTTTGTTCAGACGAAGGTTTTTTCTTGTCTTGTATAAGTCTTGTATCTTTGTTTTATAAATATTAATGAGTTTTCAATCAGTATTTTTACAAGGACACCAAAAAGTAACCAGAGAAACGTAATCTCAACATTGAACATCGATGTTTCGAATCATCGATATTTTTCAATCGATGTTTTATTGACATCGATAGTATCGAGCGATGTCACAACCGATGTTCAACATCGATGTCTGAGCACCGATGTCACATCACTATAATAAACTATCCTTGTTGTTCATTGCATGAGAAAGGTCCATTCCCATTTTCTAAAAGTGGGCGGTAGGTTAAAAAAGTTTGGGAACCACTGCATTAGATCAACCTTTCCTAAGGTACTTATGAGCGACCTTATGAGTATGACCATGCCTATAGGTGGATGAAATGCTTTAAATTCGAGTTTAAATTAAAAAAAAAAAATATTGAAATAAGATTAAGAAACAACACCCCAGTTTGAAAATAAAATTGTGCCAAATGCAAAAATGAAAGAGCCCTGATCCGACCCTGGCTAGTTTTTTACTGAACTGCTGAAAAGGATGAAATCGTACTGGCGGTGCTTTTTGTGTACACAATTACCGGTTTTCAATCGATTTTTTTTTTTCAAAAATTGTACACAGCAGGTATGGGTATGAACCTCTTTACGAACTATTAATCTTTTAACGAACACAACTTTAGTGTAAACTTTTCATATTTATACAATATTATGAAAATATAGCTACCAACATGTAAACAAAAATTCTTACCTTATTTTGAATCACATCCACAATAACATAAATCAAAAGTACAATTTCCTGTTCGTCGGATCCCATTTGGGGGCCCGTCAGTCCTGCGGTAGCCACGTAAAGTATACAAATGTGATGGGGCCCCGCCATATTCAACCCTTTGATACTCATTTAAAAAACAAAACTCGAGTAGATTCGCGCCGATTTTTCAAATCCAATTCACGACCATTCAGAGCCACTCATAATAAACAAACGCGACTGACAACCGGGATGACCGCCATGTTGCCACGTGAGACAACAACCTGTTGTTGAAGCACAACCCGTTATAAATAAGTTTACTTTTTGTGGCTTTTCTTTTTATCTCTAAAATAATAAAGGGATTTTTGTTTATGTTTCTGATTCCTTATCAGTTCCTAAAATAATAGGATCGCACACGTTGAAGATTCCTTTTCAAGCAAAACGCCTTGCTAAGGTTAAAAAAATACACTGAATTTAGCGTGTGCAGTTTTTAGTGTTTTCACTTGTGGCTCTGGGGTTTCATGAAACGTGTAAAAAGCGTTAGCATTAAGCCCTTATCGACACACCACGCGCACTTAACAAACACACAATAAAACCGGCTATATCAACAGGTTAAATTTAAATTATGTAAATCGCGGAACAACACGGCAAACTCAAAAGACTTTTTTCGATTATTATTTTAATTGTTTAATATTTTTCACAGCCAAAAGGGAACGCTTTAAAATGTTCGTACAGCAGCGTCAAGGTGTATTCGTACCTATTTCACACCGGGATTCGACTGATGGAAATTATAGACTGGTTCTCTTACCTGGCCGGAGTCGACCAATCAGAAAGGCGGTACGGGGGAACGCAAGCAAGGTAACTGTACCTCTATTCGTATCGACTGCATGTTCTATAGGTTATATAATTAGGCGACTTTGTAAAGGTAGTCGCTGTTATACAGGGGACTATTCAAAATAATTAGAGGTAAATCATGCTTTTAGGGATTATAAATTCAATGTGGCAACGTCGAGAAAAATTTAAGAGTGGAAGAAAAAACAGGGATCTGTGAATGTCAAATCAAAGCCTTCTAGGATTTTGTCTGTCATATTTTTATCATAGAGTTGCGCTTGCGTTGTGGAAATTTCTCATTGTAATCTTTATAAGTTTATTAGATTTTTTCGCGGATCACATTCTAAATCAGTTTGGACCTATACTTTCCTTAGTAGCAAAAAATACCTACTGGGCAGGGGTTCCAGACTAACCAATTCCAAATTCCAAGGAACTTCTGCAGGCGATTATTAATGAATAGGAATAGGTACCTATCCATGCGAGTTCATATTCACTGGTAAGTCAACATATCTACAGATCGTGGAAAAATTCCTGAACTAATTGATTTTTTCTTAACAAAAAATATATACTTACCTTCAAGTTTTCTGGAGATAAAAGAAAATTATGATTTACATTTACACTCAGATCACTCACCTATATCCTAATTTAACTCTTAGTGAATATACATGGTTTATATTTTAAGTGATACCACTATTCTATTGCTAATTAAGTTGATGAGGACGTCGACTGTTTTATCATAAATTTTTAACAGGCAGCTTGGAGAAACAGTCCAAACCAAAAGGAATTTTGAGGGAAAAAACTACCTATTCTAGAAAAAAGGAAACTGAAAGGAAATGGGAGTAAAGTCGAGATCCCCTTGACAAAACAATAATTCTCAACAATATGACGCGCATAAGGCGTGAAAATCAAGAAATTAAAAATGACTATTAATAAATTACCTTGGTGAACTCACAGACGACAAAAACACTGATTATTCTTTTTGAAAAGCTACCAAAGGCCTTAAAAGACCAGTTACCCAAATTCCACCCATGAGAAAGTCAAAATCAGCATTGGGCAAGAAGTGACGAAGAAAAAGTAGAACTTTTTGCAGGACATTTAGAAAAGACTTTTCAGCCTCACGAAGAACAAAATGAAAATCTTCCCTGGAATGAAACTTATCAAGAAGAAGACCACATAGTCTACTTCACCAAGAAAAATATTAGCAGAGATCAAACAAAATATCAGTCCGAAAAAAGCTCCTTTCTGGGGAAGTGATAAATTAACTCCCTATCAGGAAAAGCTATTGTGAAACTATGCAACCTTTTCGATGCGTCCTTTAGGCTTATAGATACGTACCTAAACTTTGGGAAGTTGCAGAAGTATTATCATGATCATGATACCAAAACCCGGAAAACCACCTCGTGACGTATCATCTCATCGGCTAATATCATTATTGCCAGTTTTATCTAAGCTTTTTGAAAAGATACTGCTAAAAAGAATAAAACGAATCATACTTAGAAAGACAGGAAGTCGCACTCCAACTCATTAAATTGGATTTCGCGATAAGCATTCTACGATCAGCCAAGTACACAGGATAACTAATATAATAGAAAAATCGCTGGAAGAGGGAAAAGTCTGTTCCGCAGTTTTCCTCGAAGTAGTGCAAGCATTTGACAAAGTCTGGTATGAAGGGACTTATCTATAATTTGAAACTGTTCTGCCAAAACAATATTCTGATACTTTGGAATCATATTAGTCTATGTGATAGACATTTCATAGTCAAAAAGGAAGATTTTCAGTCAAATTTACGAAAAGTGAAAGCAGGTGTCCCTACCTCAGGTTAGCGTGCTAGGCCCCTACTGATATTTATATTATTTATTATTTACTTGCAACATCTCAGAACCAGAAAATAGTCATTTAACAACATTCGCCAACGATACTGGTTTAATTACAGTAGAAAAAATTATTCAACAATCAACAAGAAATTGCAGAACGCTGTCACTGCAGTTCAAAATTGGACCTAAAAATGGCGTACATTAAATGAAACCAAACAAAAACGTAAATGATACACAAATTACAATTAATAACACTCCTATACCATATTCAAATCAAGCAAAATATCTTGGTATGACGCTTGATAAGAAATTGCGCCGGAAAGCACATGTTAAGAAAAAAAGGGAAGAGCTTGAATTAAAGTATAGAATAATGTACTGGTTTATTGAAAGGAAGTCCAATTTAACCATCCATAACAAGTTTTGCTTGTTTATAGACAAATACTGAAACCAGGAGGTATGGGCATATTGGTATTGAAATTTGGAGTACTAGAGAGAGTAACAGTACCATATACAAGTTTTAAAAAGATCACAAAATAAAGTACTAAGAAACATTGTTAATGCACATTGGTACCTACGTTCGAAATAGTGACCTACATCGGAATCTCGAAGTCGACGCTCATAAAGCGATCATAAACCATAGGCGACCATAAGACCCAGAAATTATCTGATCGAAATTCAGTGTGAATTCTGCACTCGTAAGTGGTGTACGCATGTATTGTTGTGTGTGTTTTCATTGTAAATTTATTGTAAAAATGTCATCATCAGGCTTTAAGCTGCGAGCTTTTTCCATGCGTGCCGACTTGTGTCATGCGCAGTACGGTAAAAAATAATAAAATGAAATTCTGCATTGAGGATGGGTATCAATGTTCCAGCACACGTGCCGAAGTGCCACTTCGCTACCAGATTGATTGAGGATGTACCTAGCTTTAATTCGGTAAAATTTAAGGGCGTTCTTGATTCCCAAGCCAGGACTGGCATTGAATGTAGGGGAGGGTGGGCCACCATGAGACGCGTTTACCATGAGACAATCGCCATTATTTTTTAATAACGTGGGCTATTTGTCTCCATTTCACAGTACATCAAGTATTAAACATGTTAGTCTTATTTCTGTTGCCAGAGAAGCTGCACATGCGCCCCCAAATTTTTGGCCGGTTTCGATTTGTTTTCGCCATAGTGAAATTCTTCTTCTGTTCTTTTGCCGTAAGTTCAGTACTTCATCAGCCGTTCCCAATATATTTTCATTTTGTTCTGAGGTTTCCAACACAACAGGTGGATATTAATTTCATTGTTTATGTATATTACGTGTGGATTTTTTCACGTTTTACCAAAATATTGCGGTTTGTAACTCAGACCTACCATGGGCTACAATGAGACACGAAGTTTGGGCCACCTTGAGACGTATCTCAAATGTTGAGAAAAAAATATTTTGTTCAAAATAAGTTCAAAACATGTCACGAGGACGCAAATAAAAATTTCAAAAGGCCTGTTTAGTGCCGAATCAATAAAAAAGCCTGTCGAACATGTGATTGAACATAAATTAAGCTTTAAGGAATGCAGCAGAGAAAAACAACGTGAATCATCAAACATTTTCAAGATATGTTGAAAAAACACAAAATAATGAAGAAAAGTTATATTACTGCCCTCCTTACAATGTATTATTTTTGAATAAACCTTATTTTTCTCTTTTTTTCTCGGTTTTTATGTATGTCTCAAAGTGGCCCACCTCATGCGCTACCTTGAGACAAAATCAATTTTTTTTAGATTCCTCTATAAAATAAAATAAATAATATTGTGCTAATAATTTATTCAAAATATGTTTGCAATAAGATGAAAGATTATGAGGCTCACGAAACTGTAGCGAAAAAATTATATTACCAATTTTATCTCCAAAAAAGTGAAAACTGTCTCAACGTGGCCCACCCTCCCCTACATAATGCACTACTTTTGTATCAGATGCCTTCAAGTAATATTCGACGTATAGTTTCCACATGTGCCAATCAATGACAGGGATCAGTGAATCAACAATCTCTAGATTTTTTAGCAAAAAGAAAGTGATAACTGTGTGAAATTGCATGTACACTTGGCCAAACATAAAACTGGTACGGATTTTCCTATTGTGTAGTAATGTGTAAATGGACCTTTTTTATCACCTCAACAATGACAAAGGAGTCAAGTCAGTGTCATATTTAAACCAATCATAACATAAAAGGCGGTTACACACGGACGTGGATGGCTTGATACATAAAATCTGTTTTTTTTTAAAGATAAAAGTCAAACTGACATTATGTTGGCAATACAATGTAAAATTGTCAATGCTTTCAATTTTTTTATGTAGAAAAGGCTTATGTTGCCAACATAGTTACTAAATTTTTGACTTGGGGAATTATCTTTAAAAAAAAAACAGACTTTATAAAGTTTGTTTCGCCAGGGTTTGTACTTGCCACCAGCATTTGCTTTCCTTGTTTAACAAATAAAAATTGACTGAAACAAATCAATGACGTCAAAAAGGTTCGTCGGTTCTTAAACCAAAAGTCATTCATTGTTATTTGTCAAAAAATTGAATGTGTCATATGAATTAATCTACGACAACCCTTTTTTTTCAAGTTTCAAGGTCAAGTATGAACCCTGGTGAAACGGACCTTACGTGCATACATCAACGTGCAAACAAAAACGTGCAGGACGCCTTTGTACAGACGGTCGCACAAAACTGTAGTCTTGCTATTCTTGCTACAGTGTTCGGAGTGTGCATACAAAATTTCTAGCGATTGCACATTCAAAAACGCGACGGTATCTTGCATACACATTGATGCACTCAAAAAAATCTTGATCATAATATCAATGAACTGCTTTCATAAATTACATTTTCATTGATTCAGTGAAATTTTCATTAATCCCAGGTACAGGAAACTGTAAGTATTATGATTTCATGAACAGCTATCATTAAAATAAAGAATGAAGCTTCATCAAGTTATGAATAGTCATCTACATGAATCTATGTTGAATAGTGCATCGGTTACAAGAACTAAGTTCATTGATATTATGAAATTAAACCTTGATATTAAAGAAAATTTCTTTGATGGGAGCTTCCACGGAATATTCATAATATAAATGAATATTAACATGAATAATATGAATATGGTTCATATGACCTTACTAGAAAATTATCCTTTTAAGAACGAAATTCATTGATACAATGTACGGTTCATTTAAAACAAG